TACATATATATATATATATTATACGTGTATATACATATATGTATGTACAAGTCCACAACAGGAGTAAGGAGCTGACCAAGATGGCTTTGGCTTTTAGCTTCAGCGCAGTTTCATTGTGTTGATTCCATGTTGCCCAGGCACGACATCTACGATGCACCCAGCTTCCGGAATCCGCAAACAAGCACAAACTACAAGAGACTATGCTCTCGGAGCAAGCAGAAACATTCCTTTCCTCATGAAGGCCTCTTACCGCAAGCTCAGCGCAAGCAGCATCATCTCTCAATGAAGCAACTGCTTTTTCACGGATTCTGCATCACCTGTCCCTATCGCAACCTTCACACGAGCTCTTAGATCCCGAAACCCGAAGAAATGCTCGAGCTGGGGCACCAGATGCCCCACGGTCTTCGTCAAAGAGCGCACCAAGCTGTCAAAGTCTCCTGCTTTTTTGGGTGTGTTCCTGGCCGCAAATCCAGCAAGATTTGGGAATCTGGTGAGGGACAAGGAAAGACCACACCGAACGGTCATGTAAACGGTCTCCTGAGCTTCTCCTCCGCCTCTCCGCGTGCGCGTTGCCACATCTGCTTTGCTGCTTCGGGGATTTCCCTGATCCTGAGCAGGATCCCGATCGTCCAGCAAATTACGGCACGCAGGGCACGCAAGAGGGCCGATACGATAATAAGCACTCATAGGATCGCCTCGAAACTCGGAACAACATACAACTCATGGTGAGCACTGACTTGGAAAAGCTTTCAGATACGCACAGGGTTACCTCCAAACACTACAAGCACCATAGCGAAGCACCACCATACCTTGCAAGAACTCCAGGTTTGTTGCATCGGCTGGAGAGTACAACCTTGAGCAGTTCCTTGATTTCCATCCTTTCGAAGAAAACATCCAGCAACCTTCACCTGCGAAGGTTGCTGTCTCTGAGCAAATTATATGTCCATCTCCAAAACCCCCCAGTTTCAACACAAAGAGACTTCAAGGTGCAAAATAAATACTCACCCTTGTGTCGGGTTGAAATCCTGGGTATTGGCCCACGGCGACAACATGGGTTTCAACGGGGCCCAGATCGCTGCACACTCCTTGCATTGTGCTTGCGAGACCGAGAGACTCACATTTTCAGGTTGACTCAACTAACACGCTCAGGACCCGACACTTTTTCCTCCAGGTGCGATGCCGTTGCTGCACAGAGCTGCAAGCTCTGCATGAAACCCTCCTGTCAGCATGGTCACGGACTCATGCGTTGGGTTTCAGGTTTATTCCGCTGCCGTGGGGGCTTCATGTAATCACTGACGGCAAAGCTTAACCTTGAGCATGCCGCGACTCCTTGAGAGCTTCTGCCTTGGAACTCGTGGAGGAGCGCCCCTCCTGGCAGAATCCGCTACAGGAACTACATGTTCGGGGGGTCACCTGCAAACGATGTTGTGCATGAGACATGTCAAGGGCGACCAGGACGGGCTCAGAAGAAGAAGTAGCAGTAGTAGTACTAGTAGTTACCAGTAGTAGTAGTCGTAGTAGTAGTAGTAGTAGTAGCAGCAGTAGTCGCAGTAGTAGTAGTAGTAGTACTAGTAGTAGTAGTAGTAGTAGTAGCAGCAGTAGTCGCAGTAGTAGTAGTAGTAGTAGTAGTAGTAGCAGGCAGGAGTAGTAGTAGTCGTCGTCGTCGTGGTGGTGGCGGTGGTAGTAGTAGTAGTAGTAGTAGTAGCAGCAGCAGCAGCAGTAGCAGCAGTCGTATGACCGTATTACTGGTAGCTGTGGTAGTAGCAGTGGTAGTGGCAGTGGCGGTGGTAGTTGTGGTGGTAGTGGTAGCGGTAGTAGTAGACATAGTCGTACTATAGCAACTCAGTAGTAGTTGTAGTCGCAGTAGTAGCAGTAGCAGCAACAGCAGTCGTATTACTAGCAGCCGTGGTAGTGGTAGCGGTAGTGGTAGCGGTAGTGGTAGCGGTGGTGGTAGTGGTTGTGCGTCGTGGTAGTAGTAGTAGTAGTAGTAGTAGCAGTAGTAGTAGCAGTAGTAGTAGTAGTAGTTGTAGTTGTAGTAGCAGCAGCAGCAGCAGCCACCCTCTTAAGAGCACGTTCGTTTTACTCGGTATTTACGGTACGTTCGTTCCGTCATGCCACTTCTTCTTGCCTCAAAATCTACTCCTACTCCGCGACTTTGATAAATTCGGCTTGGGATTTGGGGGGTGGGGGCGGTGGGGGGGGG